CTTATTGCAGTCTCGCCTGATTCAAATAAAGTCTTCCACTCGGTAATCTACGCGGGGAGCATTAGCCAATTTAACACGAATTAAACCGCACTTGCGAGTTATACCCAAAGCACCAGCATGGCCAAACAACCCCCATGACTGACGCGGCTTAGCAAAGCGTTCGTACGTCACGTGATCGACCGAGCACTGTGCGTTACAGTACTCGAATAGTTATTGTCATCATCATTACTACCTCACTCGTACTTTGCGTTGCATCTGGGAAGGGCTGTCTTGCTTGATGCCTATTAACTAAGGCGCCTGTGTGTGCGCACTGATGTCAAGCACACTTCCGTTGGTACACGCTGCAGAAATTCAAACTTGGAGCTTCTCGCCAGAGCGTGTTGATTTACTTTTCCCCACGTGCCCTCCTCTCTGGACTGAATTTGTACTTGCGAACTAGCACCTCGTGCCGGTCGTAACAGAGATCATTTGTTATCTCTCCATGCGAGCGCGAAGAGTTAGTTTTCGTTGCCAATTGTGTTTCATTATGTAAGCTTATTTACCGTTTAGATTTGTTTTCCATTTCGCTGTACTGTTTTAGTTTCCAAATTCCACATTGCATTCGTATTAACTCCGATCTGTTACACCATCAATAACGCAATTTGTTGCTGGCTTGGCGTTTTTAGATTATTTAGAGTATTTGGCTGCTATAAATGTCCACGTGATAAGCCACTTTGTTGAGCTATCATTTGTGTCCATGTCGCTTCTGAAAAAAATGCTAATAGCTCAGTGGGATTTTCCTGGTAAGATATAAAACAGTTTTATTTGTATATATTTCTTAAGAGTTGCTTATCTTTGCTTTACTTTGCACTCCGATCTTGTTTTGTATTATTTGATGTTCTGACGTTTTGACCCCCTGCCCGCCCCACTGGACATCTGTACAAAACGCTTTATAGCTCATCAGATTCCTCCAGTCTAAATAAATATATTCTTTGGGTCTTTCGGTAAAGCCACGTAGATAGAAAAAAATATAAAAATATCACGACGTTTCGATCGCAACACAAGCAATCGTCATCAGGTGAACAAATTGCGGGAGAGCTGCTGAGGCAGGATGTTATAAAGGTTTGAGATGGGTGTAGCCCAAGGGTGGTCATAAGTGAAGTGGGCGGGGCTAGTGGTGACATTAGCATGTCAATGTAAGACGACGCTGCGGGGGTCGCCATTGTATTGTGAGAGGTTAGCATGTCAATCCTACAGCAACACCTTGTGATGTCACCCTCGTACATATGAATGCAATATCCAGGTTTTTGAAGAAACTTTGGCTTTTTGTAGAACAAATTCGTCTCAGAAATCAGGTCAACCGTCGATTGTCGAGGGTGATGCAGAGGAACGGTGGCTCGGACAAAAATTAAATAAAATAGGCATAGATGTGTTAACCACCCTTCTGCGCTCTTGCACAATGTGTGGGGGGGGGGGGTTACTGAAGCAACGTACATTATGCATTTGCATTATGCGAGCCCTTTGAACTTGTCCTTCATGTCTATTGTGTTGATTAAAATTGCCCTAGCAACGGTAATCCCTATTGAAGTAGGCAAGGCATTTAAATAATGTATTATTTGATTATTCACTTCCACGCAGCACTAAGACCATAGCTATCCTTTATATAAGGAAGGAAACAGTAAGCCTTCTCCACAAATCTGGCTGTCGCCTGATGAAGCTAGTTGTAATTACTGGTGAAACGTCGTACTCTGTTTGTAAATGTTGTGGCTTGCCTCTCCAACACACAACCGGTTAGTGCTGTAATCGTGACGAATTGGCCACGTTCTATTTACGTGACAACCCTTACTAGTCGGCTGTGTCGGGTGGTGGGGGGTTTTAACGACACATTTATATATTTACGCGATCTAACCCAAAAACCTCTATTATGGATATTGGTTGCGAAAGCTTACGTGTTAAAATGAAAAACCATGTTACGATATAAACACAGGTGTATTGTTTGCCTACGTAGAATAGGGGTGCGAACATACACAGAGTGGTTTATTTTGATTGCCTCTTCAAGCAAGTGGCTTGCGTGTTGACAAGTTTGCGGTCATGTTGGTACTGAGTTACTAATGTTCCCACGAGTCAGTTGCAGATAATGAGCCAGTTGTGTGCATACACATGTTTTTATTCTTCTTGTAAACACGGTTGCTTAGTAACCTGGATAACGAACCCACGGGTAATCGAGAGTTAACTTTTATGAGAAGCAACGTACCCTGATGTCTGTGCATACAAAGTCCCAAACCACTGGACCGAATCAGCGTTGCAGAGCAGTTATCCACAAAATCTGAGCGCACCTCAGGGCCTCCCGTGACTCAATGCTTTCAATGCAAATTGTATTTTATTAACGCGAGAATATTGTACATCTTGGTTTGGTTGAGTTTGGAAATCTGCAAATGTGGGACGATAGAAAAATTAACCATAAACTATGCGGTGTTGTCTTCTTGGGCGACCAACAATGCCATGTGTTCTACATTTGGCAATCCTATGAGATATTTAGTTTGGCCATGAAAGTCGATGCTCCAGTCTCTATTTGCACATTATTTCTTGAGTTAATATGCAATGGCAATGACACATTTGATTTCTTTCAAAGATGCGTATGGCTTAATGTGGAACATACTGTACAGTTTTTTTAAGACAGATCCAACAATGACATGTATCTATATTTACACCTGTTGAATCAAAGGCATAGTTTCGTCTTCTATTTTGTCTATCGGGTAATGCAAAGCTTTAAAAAATGTGCAACTTTTCAGAATGCAGTACCATTAGATCGAAGAACGTTGCTTCCTGTGCAAAATGACAGTCTCAACGTATCTACATCATTAATTACAACACACTTGCAAAACATTTTGCAGCTGCTGCAGCTAAAGTACATTCCCACACGATTGAATGAGCGGTGCGCACAATTTAATCATATATATGTGTACGTGTTTCACAGGGTGCGATATTCATTGCGTAAATTCATCCTGAACAAGTTGTGTATTTAAAATGCCCGTACGTGTGTTGTTACGTGTTGGCTTTGTCCACGTCAACTGCAACCCTGGACCCCCTTGCGAATGAGATGTTCCATCTCAAGGGATTTTCCAGGTGAAACATTGTTGTAAAAAAGTAGTAGTAATAATCATATGAAACTTTCCACAATGTACGTCAAGCAATGTATATATATGTAGTGGCATCGGCGGATGTCACTGCATGTTGTGTGAAGCCGGCCTGTGTGAGGCACGACACACGCCGCTCACACCACCTACAACGTTGCAGTGGGAATGCAGTACCGGCCTTAGCGGGGGCCGGCTGAGATCGCCGACCAAGGATGGATGGCACTGCAGGTTAGGGGGCGAGAGTGCCAGGGACGGTGCAGGGGTACACAGGGGGCCATGGCACTCCATGTGAACCCAGAGGCCTGGTGACCAGAAGTGGCTGGGGGACCACGGGACCAGGACCAGGTCCCTCTCGAAGGCTCGAGAAGGGGGGGCATGGCTAGGGGCCGGGTAAGCCCCGCCACGGGCAATATAAGCGGGAGCCCTGAACGGGTGCAGCTGGCTGTTGCAATAATCAAGACCGAAGCCGTCACCTGGAGAAGAGCTGCCCGACTACAAGACCCGGACCCGAGCCGGGGTCCGGTCCGAGATAGCCACCCCGTGTGAGCGAGGGTGAGCTAGACCGGAGGAGATAACCCCCTAAGGTAGCTGGTGAAGGGGCAGATGTACCACTTCGTGTTTGGGGCTTTATTGTTAAATAAACGTGTTGCATCTAAGAAGTCTCTGCCTCGCTGGTGTGAACTACTGCATATATATGGTTGGCTTCACTATTCTGGCAAATCGCCCGATGATGCTGGATGTAATTACCAGCGAAACGTCGTACTCAGATTGTAAATGTTGTGGATTCACTCTTCAACATACCGGTGGGTTGAAGTAGTAACTATTTGGCGTTTTGTTTACGTGACAAATCCCTTACTGATTAGCCGTGTCAGGTGGCGGAGGGTTTCGACACATTTATACTTATGCGATCTAACCGAAAAAGCTTCATTATGAAAAATATCTCTAAGTATTTCATGGAGCCAGTGATAGGTCATTGTAGGAATGGTATCTAACCACTGGCAGTGCGATGATCATGATGTGTGTGCATGAAAATGTTATTGCCGTAGTGTATACCGAATGCCCAAGCAGCTTCTGTTTGGCCGGTTAGAGGGGGCTAAATGGCCGCGGCACGGGCGAAAGAAGAAAGGGACTGATGTGGTACAGAAGGATGTGGAGGTGATTGTACTTTCCGATGACTGGTACCAGCAGTGTCAAGATCGGCCTCTGTGGAAGAGGTTCATGAAGGATGCTACTGGGGAGTTGGAGACAGTCACCCTTTAGCAACAACGGAGGGCAGAGGAGCGACGCTCACAACAACGAGCAGAGCGCTGGGCGGCTAAAATGCAGAGAGTTGCCACAGTGGGGAGCACAGTCGGTGCATCTGCCAGTCATCTCAGGCAACCCATGGTACCTGGGTCTGTTCCGTGACCTCATGTCAGTAGGTCTTCAAACACTTGACGTGGCTTCAGAGTGCACCTAGCATGGCACAAGGGCGTGATGATGTCACTGCCACTTCGTGGTGAACGGTTGTTGTTGTTGTTGTTGATGCCCGTAGTGCATGTGAGTGGATATCTCTTCACAATTATACTCGACATCACTGAGGCCAAATTATCCGCAACTCCTATTATTCACACCTAAAATCGATCCACAAACATTTTTCTTTATCTTTTTTCTTCTATTATCCGCACTTTTTCACAGGTAAAAAAGGAGCCATGCAGAAGTGGTCAAAAGTGAATCCTCTTCTGTGCGTGTTTCCACAGACAACTGTGTAGGTAACAGGAGGAATTCACAGAGTTGATGACGCATAACCGAATCCGCAACATTGCCCCCTACATCTCCGCCTGAAAAAAGGGGAAGTGCTGCATTTGTGCACAAAGACAACGTTGTCCCCTGTGGCCCTCTCACCTGAAGTTGTGTGCCTCACTCTCGATCGCGAAGCTGTTGTAGAGAGAGAACGCCTCGTGGCCTTCCCAGTCTTTGAGTCCGACCCTGAGCACGTACGACTTGTGGCTGGTCAGCTGATGGACCACCTCGTTTCCTAGCCAGTGCTCGCCCACGGGGTCTCCAAATCCCTGTGTGACACGTGGAAAATACGTTCCTAATTTAGCCTTGGTAGATTCAATGCAAAAACTTAAAATTCACACAAGGAAGGTTGTGGAGATGCACGCTTGCAATTGCATTGCGAGATAGAACAAAACACATAGATTAGACAGCAGACGCTGGTTAAAGACAATTTGGGCATATTCTTTGGTTCTTTCGGTAAAGTCAAATTAAAATAACAAAAATAATTATATTTTATTAACGTCGTGAGTTTTAATATTTTTTTATTTTTTTATTTTTATTTTAATAATTTCTATCTACGTGACCATACCGAAAGAAGCAAATAATATGAATTCCTACAGTCACGAAAGTTTTAAGTCACAATTTGAGCAGTTTAGAAAAGAAAGAGGGCTTAACGGCAGGACTCGGCACTCGAGGGGGGACGATAGCCGGTGGTCGGGACTAACGACAATGGCAGCCGATGGTCGAACTGCACCTGGGAGGACGTCCACTGTGGAGAGCGAGCGACGGGATGAGCATTATAGTAGTAGGTTTTTACCCTTTCAACTGGTACAAAAACTGACACCTTTATACAAGGCATCATGTTTGCAATAACCACAACACAAGCAGTCAAAATGCAAACAAAAAGAAACAACTCTGATAATGATAATGATATGCACTGTCCTTGAAGTTGATTGGTCCACACCCGAGACAGCTTTTCTTAGAGCCTAGTCTCCATTGGTGTTGGACCAGATGACGCCAAAAGGCGTACAACTCAGTACCAGTCAAAAGGGTAAAACCCTATTACTATATTTTGCCACTGGTAAAGGAGATGTCTCATAGAGGAATGAGCAAGGTGGATGGTGACACTGCAGAACCATGAGAAATGCTGACGGCTTGGAGAGGCCCTCATGGAGCAATGGGTTAAGTATCGATGGTGGTGATGATGAAATTAATATGGAAGGTTCTGTGTTTAAAGAAACCCAATTTTTTGCCTGTAAAATACACAGGGAGGTGACAGGGACAGATACAAATACAGTTATGTTTAGGTCAAATTCTAACCAAATGCGCCCATGTAATCTCACCAATTTATACTCCTTCCAGGTGCGATGAAAGTCCAGGGAGCCATCTTTCCGGCGCTGGAGTACAGTCCACCCACCGCCATCAGTCTCCATGTCGCAATAGACCTGGACAGTGCAGACGGGGGACCAATGCAGACAAAATTAGCATTCACTTTAACACGTAGGCTTTCGCGAACCAATATTAATCATAATAAAGGTTTTTGAATGAGATCGCATACATATAAATGTGTCTTCAACCCACCACCACCCGACACAGTCCAATTAGTAAGGTTTGCCATGTGAACAAAATGTGGCGATTAGCTATTACTTCAGCACATCGGTGTGATGGCGAGTCAACCCACAGCATTTACAATTCAGCATTCACCCACTATTTATAATCTTCTTGTTTGTTCCCTTCCAGCATCAACACGACACTGTGCTTTTTTCTTTCTTTCGTATTATTTTTTTTTTAAGCAACTGACAACAGAACATCATTGCGATGTGAGTTTGGCAATCTACTTGACAGCATCAGAAGCTGCTTGACGTATCGTGTCCGTACCTCCAACAAGACAACCTACACTTGCTTGAACACCGACGGAGATGATAACTGAAAAGGCTACAGATACACCTCTAATATGTCTGTAATGTTTTCTGTTTCTGATGTTTAAATTCTGCATCTTCATTTTGTTGCACCACGTCCTACGTGGACTCCATTCCCCTCCCAGGACACTCTTCCCCAACAACCAGGGCTTTCTGTTAAAGGCCCCAGTTAACCTTTAATAAGGGGCCATCCATTTAGTAGGTACGCAAAATCTGTCAAAACTCAACCCCTTCCTCCCCTCCTTGTACGCACGCGGACTTTTTACCCCCCCCCCCCCCACCTGCGTACGTACGCCTGACCCCCCCCCCCCACCCACCTATAGAACGGCCAGCAGAAACGGTCAAGGATGAATACTATGAACGTGTTTGAGCAAACAGATAGTCCACCGCCGGACTATCTAACTCATTTGAAGACATTATTATCGAGGCTTCACCGCCCCCCCCCCCCCCGTTTCCTATGCGTACGTGCATTGTCAGTAGACCCCCGATACGCAAGCGTACGCATTTGGGTGAACTCCCCCTCCCCCCTCCATGCGTACGTACTGAATGGATGGCCCCTAAGCGGGGAGGTCGCTCATCTCTGCTTCCCCCAAAGTCTGGGACTCCCCTTCTTTCTCCAAGCCTCCCACGCTGCTCCTGTTCAAGGCCAGGCTCAAGACCTTCTCAGACGATGACTGTTTCTTTTCTTTCCATAAAACGAACGTGGCCCAATGTGTATGCGCAGCATCTTGAGATGCAGTTGCATTTAAACGCCATGCAAGTCCAAATCGTTTCGATTGCATTTTTTTCATTTTAACCAGGTTTCCCTTCACGACCTTCTTCCGGGCAATTAAAGTAAGGAATTTGTATTGTATTGTACATCGAAGTGTTTGTTTTTATAGGCTACGACCTCCACTTCAGGATAGCTCCTCCAGGCAGTGGCGTGGCTATTAAGTGTGAAGGCGCTGCGACTGCCCTGGGGCCCACAGGTCAGAGGGGCCCAGAGGCACCGGGCTACGAAGAGGCTTTGGGGGGATTGGACCGGGGGACGCCATTTAATTCTCCGCACCAGGGTCAAGACCAACAACTTTATGCCACGACCTCCAGTTTGCAAATGGATTGATTTCTTGGGAGGGGCCTCCAGATGAAAATGGGCAGCAAAAGCTTTTTTTTACAGAGAGGATTTTTGCTTTGTGCCCGTGGCTCTTGCGTATTGAATGCAGATGCCTTTGTTGGCCTCATTATCTGCGGAAAATTGATGCTTCTTTCAGAGTGTGGCCTCGAGTCTTTAATTCACGTTCACAGGCGTGCAGACAGCAATCTCTTTGAATACGAGCCCATAACACGCATGTTTCTGGGTCAAGCCATGGAGATTGTCAACCAGGGAATGATTCTCTATGAGACAGCCTACCTCACCATTTAAAATATTGGTTCAGGCATGCGTTAATACTTTGATTCCATTCGGAGCAGAATTGGTTTATTGAGTCTAGATTTGAAGCTTTTGTGACTGCAAGGATTCATATTCTTAGGTTTTTTCGGTAAAGTCACGTAGGTAAAACATTAAAATTAATAAAAGTAAAATAAAATAAAAAATCACGACGTTTCGGAGGCAACACAAGCTTCCGTCTTCAGGTGGAACCTCACCTTACCATATGAATAAAAAGTGTGCTGTACTTGGCCCTTCCCCCCTCTCCAACCATTATATAAACGGAGTGGTAGCTCCTGCAATCTCTCATTTACTTGATACAGCTGTCGTGGCTGTGACGGTTCCACCTGAAGACGGAAGCTTGTGTTGCCTCCGAAACGTCGTGATTTTTATTTTATTTTACTTTTATTAATTTTAATGTTTTACCTACGTGACTTTACCGAAAAAACCTAAGAATATGGTTTATTGAGGTGTCACAAAAACATTCACAACACAATGACAAACAAAATACTTACATTTTGTATAAGGCACACAGTAACACTTTGCTTTGAGTGAAAATGAGAAATTTTATGATATGCATCATAGATGATGATATAATCATTTACAGGTCTTTGTCAAATCGGTTAATATATTTTTATAACCCTTACAATGCATGCGTCGAATCGCGTGTGTTAAAAACAATAATGTATTATTTATGCGCATTCTCTGCAAATTATATATAGATGTTATATGTAGGCTAATGGGGCAAACAAAACTGTACAAATTAGACCAGAACTAGAGATGCGATACAAACGAGATGCGAGAAACTTGAAGATAAAAGATGAATTGCTGCATAAAATCTCGACCTTGAACAGTGACAATCCATCAGATTGCGACGAGGCTGAATCATTGCATCCCCACCTTTAACACTTTGCCTTTTCTGCCCTCATCATTACCCGAATGATGCCCATTCATCAAATCGACAGGAGGCTCAGGTGGGTGTGGTGGTTTGGCGTATCATTACATTCCTCTATAACTGCATTCCGGACTTATTGGGCAAAAGTGGGTGGCGATTTAGTCGATGCGTGAGTCCTGTCTGTTTTCTGTAACAACTGGCACGATTGAGTCACACCAGACGCTGGGCAGCCTCGATGACGCCAGTGCCAAACCAATTTAGTACCAGCGTTGGCCAAACCAAATTAGTACCAGCGTTTGCCAAGCTTCTCGGCCCCCCACGATGTTGTGTGTGCGGTGCGCGTGAGCAACCAGCACCAGCTCACCTTGACGGGCTCGCTCATGTTCCGCACCGAGACGCTGTAAACTCCACTGCTCGTTTTCCCCAAATGATAGAGGTCGGCACAGTCCTGGAATTCAGTCTTTACTTCGTCATTGGCGCTTTGCTGATTCACTGCGAACAAGCAAAAGTAGACAAGGGGCTTGGAAACGGAAAGAAAAAAACCTCCACCGCCGATTCTTGCATTGATCATGCGAGCAGTATCTGCTCTTGCGCATGTAATGGGCAGTCTATAGCCGGCTATTATCTATATGGAATGTAATGTCTCGTAGTTAAGGTGTTAAATTATTTTTGCCTACCTTCTGGACATTAAATATATTTTCACATTTGTCATTAGAGACGAGGATTGCACACCATTGTCCTAATTACATTCTTATGTGGCTGGCTAATCCTTAGCAAATTTAGACTGCATTTGCTGGATAAATAATACATGGGCATTTCACCAAACGCATCTAAGATGGCATGCAAACTCATGAAGCATTGTGTAATATCATGGGTAATGGCAGATAAAAGCATAACTCTGTTGCCTCTCTCCACATATAAATAATAATTATTTTATTCCAGAAGCCAATAAGCCAATGACTAAAACATATATTTACGTGTCAGTGGTTACACAGAACCGGGTTCTGCTTCACCCTTACCCATTCCAATAATGATGTACACGTGTACATCATTACACATGTACATCACTACCGTCATTGGAAAGGAATCGGAAAAAAAATTGTCGGTCAGAAGACGTATCGAGGCTGCCACAAAGCCATGCGGGAGGGCGTCTGGCACAGTTGGGTGCCAGCTATCATTGCGTGCAGTCGTGTCGCTACAGTTCTTTGCGGTGAGTACAATGTCTTGAAAAACAACGGCGCTACGCCTCTTTAAATAAAGTTAATGCTAACCACTTGCGCGTTCCGAGATTCCGCGGTGAACGAGACCCAAGCCGCAACTTGCAGACGTCTCGGAACAGGAAAGTGTCAACATAAAATTGAATAACCTTGTAAGAACAGTGCAATAAACAAATATCAAGTAAATGCCCCTTTTGAAGGTGATTTTTAGATAAACATAAAAGCCACGGAGGCCACATTAGCGGAGGATACTGCTGCGTCTCATTGCCCGGATGCGGAAAAACCCAGAGATGTGTCACCTGCTGCATGAGTCAGCATGTTGAGGAGGCTGTGCAGGGTGTGCATCATCTCCTGCTGCTGCTGCTGCAGCAGGGAACTGTTCCTCTCGGCCACCTCCAGGTGCCTCTCGACCTGCGACACGACGACTGCCTGGTCCTCCACCACCTTCTGGAGCTGCCGCTTCTCCTGCACGATCAACTGGAGCTTCATCTCGTGGCTGTCCTGCATCGCTGTGAGCCTCCCTTCCAGCACGCTGGGCAAAAAATAATAAAAATGAACAGAGTCGTACAGCGGTGACAGTACTGCAGCGTCCTCCGAGGCGTTGGCGACCAGACCTGGACACAGATGTAGGAGTCGTTTGCTATACAAAGCCAAAGGAAAGAAGAATGTTCTGTAATCATTTTTACAAAATGTTATTGCAGAATCATTTACCAGGAATGTAAAAAAATATATATATATGATACGTTCACATAATAACTGGGCCTTAATTTGCCTCTCTGCATTAAAATAACATTGTTTCAGTCCATCAGCCCTTGGGCCTTCCATGAGACCCATAAGGTAAACGCCAGTCCATATTTCTCCGTTTAAATGATGCTTCTCTATAGCATTGATTTGGGAAGCCCACGGGCTGATGGGCAAAACATATGTTGAAGTAGGTAGACACACGGATAATTCTATTGGTTTATTTTGACCCTCTACTCAGTGGCTTGTTCATCACTCACAGATTAACACAATTGTACGGATAGACGTCAGACACCTAACACCATACGTCACTTTTAGTCACATTAATTTGTTCTACTTCATGTCCCAAGGCTAACGGATCAGGGGTGACGTGTAATTAGGGTCTGTAGCTTGAGTCCCGAGACAGCTGATGGATGTATAAAGTTGACAACAGCTTCTAGCTTCCCCTGTAGGACTTTCAAATCTAAGCAACATTTTCCACATGTGTTTTTTTTTCAAACTCCATAATGACCTGAAATGCACTGCATGTAACATAAATGCTGCCTGTGCTTAGAGATTATGATTTTTTTCAAGGCCAAGTCACTTATGTGTAACACGTCATAAATGTCCCCCAGCTAAATGGCGTGCGACCCAAACCTCTCAACGATGCCACACTTGAGTGCAGATGGTTTGTCTCAACGCCACATTTTATGCTGTGCAATGTAGGGGCGCCGCGGTGGCTAGGAGATGTTAACTACCTCGCTTGGTATACAGGAGGTCGTGAGTTCGATCTCGACCCCGACGCCTATATATTTGGAGTTTGCATGTTCTCCCTGTGGTCGCGTGGATTTTTCTGAGGGTCCTCTGGTTTTTCCCTCCATATATAGACTAAACATGCGTTTTAGAGTTTTTGGCTGCTATAGATTTCCACGTGATTAGCCACTTTGTTGAACTCTTATTTGTGCTAGCCAGGTGTCTTCTGGAAAAGAGCTACATAGCTCAGTGGGGCCTTAACTGATACAATTGTAAAAAATGTTCATAGTAAAAAAAAATGATTGTAGACACGGGCTCCATTGCTGACGTGGCATGAACCCCATCTTTTAAAATTGGGATATCAACATTCTGCACAATAGTACTGACTTCTCGATGACGTGATAGCATGTCCACCATCTAATAAAGAGACGTCTTGCGTCACCGGAGGTTAAACTTCTTGATACAACAACAAAACAACGAAATAAACGTGAGCTTTCTTTTGATATCTTGAAAAAAAGGCTAATCCTGGCTTTGTGCTGGAGAAAGAATGGCAGATTATTAGGGTGACCCAACTCACTCCTCTCTGCAAGGTGCTGATTTTGTCACGGTAATTTTTAGTGAAATCGACGAGGGCGAAAAGTAAAAAAATCCAAGGAAGGTTACGGAGAGAGGAAATGAGGCCGCCCACCGAGAGGAGTTCAAGGAAGTGTCCAAGTCGAGTGTGTTCATACAAGCATTCACATCTGTCACCCAAACTTTACACACTCCCTTTTTTTAATTCACAATTTCCATGATCACCCGTGACCAAATCGTAGCCTTACTTGGATGAGCGCATCTGCAGTAGTTACCTGTTTTTCTCGTGCAGGTGTTCAATCGCTTGTTTCTGCATCAGCACCTGCCTCTCCAGCTTGTTCATAGACAGAGCGTTTTCTAAAATCTTCATCTCCAACTTTGATGTCTGATTAACGAGCTGCAGAATGTAAAATGAGACAGACTGTTTGCACATTTTCAATTCCTGTGGGATGCATTGTATATAAACGTTCATGTAGAGTCTGCAGCCTAATGCCATCAGGCGTGTTGTTATTGCCAATGATGGCACATTGTTTAGCCATTGTGTACACAAGTGTTGCATCCAATATTATGGCATCTTCAGAAGGATGATGTGTGCGTGGAGTGGCATGACGTACACAACGAGCTTTACCATTTAGTCAGCTTAACACGTAGGCCTTCGCGACCAATATCATCCATAATAGAAGTGTTTTGGGTTAGATTGCGTAGTCACCACATCTTTGCCTCTACATTAGGAACGAAACAGGTGGACTTCTCCATGAATCTGGCTCTCGTCTGATGATGCTGGTTGTAATTACTGGCGAAATGTCGTGCTCAGATTGTAAATGTTGTGGCTTGGCTCTCCAACACACCGGTGTGCTGTACTAGTAACGAATTGGCACGTTCTGTTTACGTGACAAACATTGCTAGTTGGCTGTGGTGGGTGGTGGCGGGTTTAACGACACATTCATATATTTACGTGATCTAACCCAAAACAAATTACCATTTAGCGTTGGAGAGATGGATGCAATTGAGGATGGAGTTGGCGGGCACCGAGTTAGGTTCCTAGCCTCTAACATCAGTGGTGAGTGATATACGAACTGATCCCCCCCCCTCCCGTCGTACCAAACCGACACTGCCAGTGCGGTGAAATATAGTTCATCAATTCCTATGGCTGACACTGTGCATAGAGGCCTTCATCTAGCAGTAGATTCACACATGAACGTGTATATTTTTACTGTTTAGTGCAGGCATCAATTCAATCGATCATTAACATTCTCTCCTACAGATGACACATTCTATAATGTGGCTATTTTACAGTACATACTTGTTTATAATCCAGAGTGTTATTTGCGAATGTGTTTACATTCCATAAATGGAAATGAAGCAATATTTAGAATTCTTGAAATTATTTTACGTACAACACAGGGATACGCCATAGACACGGAGCATATGCTTGCAAAAACCATTCCAACATCAACGCCACATCTCGAGAGAGTAGTTCAGATGGTTCAAATGGACAGGGGTGCAACCATTCTCCATTGTTAGTGGTGGATGGAGGAAATGTGACAAAACTTAGATTGAACCATGCAGCCCTGAAGTAACATCTCCTTTTTAAAAAAATTATAATTGTATTGGTTTGGTTACGAGGATGGTGTCACAGTGTAATGGGTGGCACACTGGACTTGCAATTCACAGTTCACCGGTTCGATTTGACCCCGGTACATAGCGGTTTCAACAATCGTACAAGTTTCTTAAACACCTCCGCCCACCCAGCAGTTTAAGTAGAGTGACCACTGCTAGTTGCTCGGCAGATTGTCTGGTGGGGCAAAGTGCGAGCACTTCCACCTCTTGCAAGAGGTCTTGCTGGACTGAAAGAAGAGGCCGAATACCCTCTATGTTGAACTTCTTCTTGAACTTTTTTCACACCGTACGTAGCCAACCGTGCTAATTGGGGGTATAGAAGGGGTTCTCGAGTGCTTCTTCTCGTGAAAGCCCTTCTGCCAGAAGTGTGTGCAAGAAATATCACAGTTGCACCTTTACCATTATATTCTGATGGTGGCGAGATGTTAACTACCTCGCCTGGTATGCAGGTGGTCGTGCGTTCCATCCCGACTCTGACACCTGCTGTATTTTGAGTTTTTGTGTTCTCCCTGTGGTCGCGTGGATTTTTTTATCCGGGTCCTCCGTTATTTCCCCCCACATTTAGAAACACGCGTTCAGAGTTTTTGGTTGCTATACATTTCCACGTGATAAGCCACTTCATTGAGCTATCATCTATGGCCAGGTCGCTTTTGAAAAAATGCTAAATAGCTCACTGAGTCTTACCTGGTACCATGGTAACATAGTTCAATCGTTTCAACAGTTTGGATTGGACAGTTATACGCAAGAATGCCACGACCGCTCTCAACGGAGGAGGCAGACGTCAAAGTGGTTAATGGTTAAAACACACCGCAGCAGGAAGAGAGGACAGCTGCGAGCTCTGCTCTGCCTCTCCCCTCCTGCCAGGTGCGGCTCTGCGGACACCGTGCTGGCCGCCTCACCTCTCACCTGCATCTCGATGTTGGCTATCCACTGGTTCTGCTCATGGCTGTAAGCGAACAGCATCGAGCCCACATCTCCGGCTTCTTCGACAGAGAGGTTGTGCAGGAAGCCTGCCTTGCCTGCGTTCTCTTGCACGCGTGTCTCCAACTGCATGTGTCACACGTCCCAAACAAACGGCACGGTCCAGAAGGTCATTCTTCATTCGTATTATTGTTTTACATTTGTTTTTATATTTTTTTTAAAAATGGGCTTTCTTGAGCTCTTTAAAGTGGAAGGCCCTTCCACCATCAATGCAGAGAGCCGTGTTAGTGAATGCAGGGCTGAATGTTTACTTACCTGTTGTTTTAAACAAATTACTATAATTGTGCATATTGGCGTCATGAAATGAAGCATCCATTCAGATGTAAAGGAGAGCCGACACAAGGTTGCAGGAGGTTCGTCTCTTAATCCTTTTCTCCCATCCACACCTGTCCCCAGCCGTCTCAATCTCGTTCCCGACAAAGCTCCCCTTCTTCCCGCCCGTTCTCCCCTTATATCTCCTCGCTTACTCCTCCCCCTTCTCCTGTCACCGTCCCACTAACCCTCCTATTGGTGGGAATCCTTCCTCTGACACCCCGACACAGACAATTCACAGAGCAGTGCAACCCATGTGGCAAGAAAACGGCCCGCAAATCCCGATATTTCACAGGACTTCTGAAAGATCCTTCAAGTACGGAATTTTTTTTTATTTGATACAGAAGGGGGCGTACTTTCCCACACGCTCTTCCAAGAAGTTGTCTTATGCCAGTGATAGCCATATTTTTTCACGCTCGCTGCTAGAACTTAGCCAAACCATGTGGATTTATTGGTTACTGGGCTGAGGCGATGAACTGGCTGCACAGACCAGTTTCAGATTCATTTCAGGATCTCAGGCAGTGCCAGCGAATGTATCTGAGCCACTTCCCCCAGCAGGTTACCCTCGAGCAGTGGTAAAGTTTCGATTTAAAGCTTTCGTGACTGCAGGGATTCATCTTCTTGGTTCTTTCGGTAAAGTAACGTAGAAGGGAAATAATAAAATAATAACAATAAAGCATAATAAAATACAATTCTCACGACGTTTCGGCCACAACGCAAGCAGCCGTCCTCAGGTAAAGACAGGTCTGTCGGAAAGACAGCGTCTGAAGTGGTAAAGCTATGTTCTGCAAAGCTCGCATTATGTAAGCAGTTGGTGGCCGTGTTTGCATTTAAAGGGTTGGCACAAGATGCTGCATGCCTCTTACAAATAGAATGTAAACATTGTTTAAACAAAGAAAGCACTCAGTTGTTTAAAAGTAGATAGAAATCGACGGATTTGACAGTGACAAAAATGTGGCATTCAACCAACTGGTTTATGCATGGCCATCTGCGAGGGTTTATATCATTCAAATTAATAAACAGTTCAACATTTACTCAGTAATTGTTTGCCAATTTGTGAGCTGGGTAAGGCTATCGGCCAATTCTTGGTCAATAATGATCTGGTGGATTTAACAGTTGGACCACCACGAGCACTACTAAGCTCTTGAAAGCATTTTGTTAAATAATATTTTAATGGGCGACATTTGTTAGAGTATTGGATTAAATGTGCAGACCCTACCATGTTATTTTATCATGTTTTGCCAAATTAATTTGATTCAAGTATTACGTGGATTTTTTGGTTAAATTCAAAAGCAGCACAATGCCTATTGTGCTACAACCCCTGATGACAGGCAAACATTACAGTGGTGCAGATGAAATTCCAAGAAATACCCATATACCATACTTTATTGGAATTTCTGTTTAGTTTTACCAGTTATTTCGGCATATTTTAATGCAAGGGGACATGTACGCTTTCCCTTTGACGACATTCCACAATAGCTTTAAACAACATTTACAAACTGTTGATGAAACGTTCCGAAGGAAAACCAGAGCTAAGTTGTGTTATTCTTGTAATGCCCATGTCCTCATGCAAACTCGAGTCTTCTGTGCGTTGGTTAATTTTCGAAGAAAAAAAATCGTGAGTGTTCTTAATGTACCATGTGTTTTTGTTCTGCCCTGTGTATTTAAAACGTATAAACTCTTAATGGTGGCGGCTGCAGTGTAAATATATTGGTGGGGAATGGAGGCGCGTGGGGCGATGTTGGTGGTCGATAACCATTTTGGTAGAGTAACTGACAACTGACAAGGGCGTACGCAGCGGGGCACAGCAGGCAAGGGGTAGAGGCTGGCCTTGCCCCGACAATGCCCAGAAGAAGACAAAAACCTCAACATCATCCCCTATCTGCCGTGTTCATGTACAGCGCACAGTGTAAGTATATCACAGCGAGCCCTGCAGCGGAAAACCTGCACAAGTCACTCGCACGTGTTCACCAGAGGCTATAAGTGTACATCAGCTTTTTTACGTCCAGTTTTAAGCAGCCGTCTTTCAGAAATTGTACTTAATGTATGACGAAATGTAAAATAACATGCAGTTTTATAAACGTGAAAATGTGTTGTTATTGTTTTTTTATTTACCCTTTCTGTGGTGAGGCCCAAACCCAGTTCTAATGTCCAGCTGCCACTGTTAATAATGCAGAATTTAGCACAAAAACATTTAATTGCAAATAATACCGCATTCTCTATTCCTAATCGTATGGCAATATGTTCAGAACCTAAACGACAATGTCAAGGTCTGATAACCACAAAAGGACTTCAGGATAGGGTTTGTGTCATTTTACTATTCCTCCATTGAATGAGCGCAGACTACGGTGGTTTTCTATAAGGTCCATAGTTTGGATTGGATGTGTGGCACAGGGTGTGAGGTGGCAAGGAATTGCTATACATGGCCAACATCGCAGTCTTCTGATTTATCTTTCATTTTCCATTCATGAAGGAGACGTGCGCATCACCCTGTTGATGTTCTAATGCAGTTGATGGTTACACCAGTGCCTTCGAGGATTGTCAATGCTGGGGGGGGAGGGTGATGTTTGGGTCTTGAATGAGGGAGAGAGATTAGCGTGAAATTAGCTTCTGTCGCCGCATAAGAGTATCGTCCCCGCAAATGCGCACAACAGCAGTGTTAATGGGAAATTAGCACTATGTTTTGATGAGAGAGTTCTTCTGGGCCGGATGATGGTGGGAGTCAGGCTTTAGATAGGAATCCGTGTGGGTGGCTTTCCTGTAGATGGAATGTCCCAACGAGCCATCAGGCCTCTTCTCGATCAAAACATCCAGGAATGGTAACTTGCCATCATGTTCCATTTCCATGGCAAATTTGATGGATGGGTGTATGGAATTGATGTGGTTGAAGCACTGGTTTAGTGCTGGCTGGCCATGTAGCCAGATGATGAAAGTGTTATCTACATATCTCTTCCACAGGGAAGGACGTAGGGTGGATGTCAGGATGGAATCTGTTTCAAATTTCTCCATGAAAACATTTGCTACCACTGGTGATAAGGGAGAACCCATAGGGGTACCTTAATTTTGTTTGTAGAATGTACCATTCCAGATGAAGTAAGTGTTGGTAAGGCAGTGCCTCACCAAAGTTGGTACATCAGGATTCAGTTCCTGTTCGGACCAAGTCCTCAATGATTGCTATGGTTTCAGGTACAGGTACCTTGATGAACAGAGAGACTACATCAAAGCTGACAAGCAAATCATCTGGAGACAGTGAGATGTCCTTGATTAGAGAAACCAAGTGAGCTGAATTAAGTACTGCTGAGGTGGTCTTGCCCGTGAATGGAAGCAGGGTCTCAGACAGAAATCGTGCCAGTTTGTAGGTAGGTGAGTTGATGGTAGAAACGATAGGACGGAGTGGAGTACCTTCTTTATGTATTTTTGGAAAACCATCAAATCTAGGTGGTCTAGCAGCCGAAGGTTTTAGAGAGAGCTGCTTGGTCGGTTCGATTAGAGAAGTCGAATTAGTGATGATATCGTTGGTTTCGGTACCCAGGTGGTTGGTAGGATCTTTGTTGATTTTAGTATAACTGCCATCATTTAGAAGGTCCTGGATTTTGTTGTTTGTGATTTTATCCAAGATGACCGTGGCATTGCCCTTGTAAGCTGAAAGGATGACAATGTCATCTCTCTTTTTCAATTGAGCGAGTTCAGAGCACTCGTCCCTGCTGATGTTACTAATGGGTTTCTTAGAGTTTTTGAGGATGGCGGCGATTTCAGATCTTGCCACTTCTGCTGGAATGTAACCTAAACCTTTGAGGGCTACGTCAACCTGGGCAATGATATCATCCACTGGGATGTGTTTGGGGGTGACTGCAAAGTTCAGCCCTCTAGCTAGTACCGATTTTAGGCTATCGAAAATTGGGCTGTTATCTGATTGATGACAATCTTGTTAACATCTAACTTTTCCTTCCTTTTAACACATTAAAATGCACGTTTGGTTGTTTTATAGCATCATCTTGCCACTAATGGCTGCTCAATTAACTTCATAATTCACTGTTTTCATTCACTTAACCTGCCTACTAAAAAAATCCTACTTTATGAACAATGCTCAACTAAACTATGCTTTATTTAAATGTTATTAGGTCAGGCTCACTGAGCTATACATCTCTTTTTCAGAAGCGAGCTGGCCACAAATGATAGCTCAACGAAGTGGCTTATCATGTGGAAATTTATAGCAGCCAAATACTCTAAACGCATATTTCTGAATGTGGAGGGAGAAACTGGGGGAACCAGAGAAAAATCCACTCGACCACAAGGAGAACATGCAAACTCAAAATATACGGGCATCAGGGTTGGGATCAAACCCACCACCTCCTATCTATTAGGCGAGGTAGTAAAGTTGCCACCATGGCCCCTGAGATTTTGTGGGATACCAAGTTGTTCCATTGCATTTAAAACTTCATTTTTATTGCTCTGTCCAATCGCATAATTTAACATCTTTGTTCATTTAAACGGTCATTAAAAACCCGTATTATGTTAATTCGAATTGGTTTAAAAGCTCCTCAATATGAGAGCATGGCTTTTTTGGCCTTTTATGATCGCTTAAGAGCCAAAAGTGCATTATTAGAGCCAGTTTGTGGATTCATGCTTTGGCAACATTAAAGTCACGTCGGAATATTTACAAAAAAAATCATGATCCATCTGCAATAAACATTTATTCCAAAATGTGTACACATAAGCAGCATATTTTGCTTTACTAAAACTCTGCGCTGTGT